TTGTTTGACATTTTGAGTCTCGGCACTGAAACGACAAGCTTAGGAAAGACGTGATGTTGCGTAACGTGAGATCGGCAGGTTTAACCCTCCTTAAGTCATAAATGGAGGTGAGCTAGACCCCAACATACAGCGAGCCGATTTTCCGCAAGACTCTAAGCTTTCGATTCCACCCTTCAGAATGGTCAAACAATTTCTAGTTCTCGCAGGGGAGCGGTTACACTGACACGCAGTCAAAGCTGTCATGGCCGTGTGCCGGCCGCGCGGAGCACGGTAGCATGAAACCGTTTGGTTTTCAAAAACTAGAAATGGTTTGAACATTCTGAAGGGTGGAATCGAAAGCTTAGAGTCTTGCGGAAAATCGGCTCGCTGTATGTTGGGGTCTAGCTCACCTCCATTTATGACTTAAGGAGGGTTAAACCTGCCGATCTCACGTTACGCAACATCACGTCTTTCCTAAGCTTGTCGTTTCAGTGCCGAGACTCAAAATGTCAAACAAATTACACCAGTCTGTTCCTCAAGTCTTCCTCTTTCCGAAAATGTATAGTTTTGTTAACTTCGGTGCCTGAAATACATCTGCGAGCGCTAAATAACGCGCCGCGAGCCGCTCGATCGCTCGCTCGCTCGCTCGATCGCTCGCCCCGCAGATCAACTTTTCCTTAAAAGAACGCACCCCTTTAATCTTCTCATAACGCCTCGCCGTTTAAAACGCGGGCTGTGGCGGTATGGACGTCCTGCACTGGCAGAAGAAATAAAAAACAATAAACCCCGTTATTCTTTTCTTTTTTCTTTTTTTTAAGCGGCTTTTTTTTACAGTGTGCTTTTTGTTTTTGTTTTAAGTAAAGGGCGGAAAACGCGAACGCGCCGCGCCGAAATAGTGGCCGATTAATCGAGGCGATTGTTGTTATCGATAATGAAGCGCGGCCGCCCCGAAAATAAAAGAGAGAGAGAAAGAGAGAGAGAGAGAGAGAGAGAGAGAGAGAGAGAGAGAGAGAGAGAGAAGACAAAAAGAGCAGTTGCGCCTGCCCAACGCGAGCGGGACGAGCAAATTGCGAGTTATTAGTGGCGGCCACACCGACGGTACGTCGCTATACGTGATCGACAGAGTCGATCCGATTTGCTCTGCAAGCAAAAACAAAAAGCAACCCCCACCCCCTTACAAACTCACTCACACACACACAGACTAACACACACACACGAGATTTCAAACGCCTTGTGAGTGAGGTCATTACCTTTATAGCCACAAATGATGGGGACGGGTGTGTTTGAGTGTGTGAGAGTGAAATGGCGTGGAGCGAAGTTTCGGGTTAACCGCCTTAAGCAGATCGCCTTAAGCACGCTGCCTTAAGACGACAGGCTAAAGCATACTGACATAAAGTGCTCAGGTAGGAGACTGACAGGCGCTCTGCCTTTGGGCCACTGCCACCCTGTGAGGACACTTCCTTAGACAAGCAGTCTGCCAAGAGCAATGCCCTGTCTGACTCCCTTGAAGAGGTTGCCTTAAGCACACGTGCCTAAAAGGGAGTCCTTTACACTACCTTAAGTACACTCCCTCAAGAACGCCCGGGCCTTAAGAACACCGCCTAAAGTATACCGCCTTAAGTACACCGCCTTAAGTACACCCCCTTAAGTACACCGCCTTAAGTACACCACCTCAAGTACAGTGCCTTAAGTACAGCGCCCTAAGTACAGCACCTTAAGTACAGCGCCTTAAGTACCGCGCCTTAAGTACGCCGTTTTAAGTGCACCGCCTTAAGTACGCGTCGAGCACTGCCTAAAAGCATCCAATCACTGCCTCCGGGTGCCTTGCTTGGCTCTGCCCTCTGCCCTGCCTGTCCAGCGATTCAGAATAGTCGTTCGTCGCTCTGTCTCTGTCGCACTCGAGGGGCACTCCGCAAAGGTGCGAGGGAGACGGAGCTCGCGCTTCAGGATCGCTCGGCTGACCGCAGCTTCCTTGTTCTCGCCCGAGCCGCCAGGGCTGGCCGGCCTCCGAGCGCCTCCAGGGCCCTGCACTGCTAGTCCTGGACTCGGTCCTGGATGGCACAAGGCTCGGCGCGAGGCCCGGCGCGAAGCACAAGGGGTTGCGCAACGAGGCCCGCCGGGCCGCCGCGTCTGCCGCGTCGCGGAGCTTCGCGGTGCGGCGCGGGTCGCTGGTCCGCCGGCACCGCGGCCTTCGCCGTGACTTCCCCCTCCCCGCCGTCCTCGTGATCCCCGTCCTCCTCGTCCTCGCCGTGCGTGGCTGCGTGACGCTTGCATCTGTTCCCGGAGGAATTTTAATTGGGCCGCGAGACAAATTGTGATCGCCCGGCTCGGCTCGGCCGCACCACCGCAAAGTTGGCGCGGCCGCGTCCGAAAAGCGGAAGACTGCCGAAGGCACCCGAAGGCACCCGAAAGGCAGCGGAAAGCACACAGAGACTGCAGTGCACATAACTTTGTACTGAGTTCCACACATAGCGAACTTAAGTGTAACTGTGTACGGTACTGAGTTTTCAGCACTGTGGCCCCCCACTGCCGGAAACAGCCATTGCACTATGGGATGCAGCCACCGCCCCACGCGGCCCTGCCCACCGCGTTCACACGGTCCACGTCGTCATCTCTGTCCCTCTCGCACCCCCACGGGGCGCCCCCCAGGAGTGCGACAGAAACAAGGCGACGAGGCGTCCCATGGGGATTGGCCTGCATGCAGGAAGACGACCGTGGCCGTGCGCGGTCTCGGTAGGTTAGGCCGCGGGCGTGGCGGCGTGCCGACGGCGAGAGGCGGGGCGGGGCGGGGCGGGGCGGGGCGGGGCGGGGCGGGGCGCGGTGACGGCGCTGGACGTCGCCCTTGGCTCGCGCACCGCGCCGCTACCGCCGAAGACACCGCGCCATCTGAATCAGATCGGCAGCGCGTTCGGCCGTTCGTTCGTTCGGCCTCGCCGGAACACCTGTCGTTGCACAGGCACACAGCGCCGCGTCGCCGCGTCGCGTCGCCCACTGAGAGTCAACGAGTGGCCGCCGCGCCGTGCCGCCGTGCGTGGGCGAGACAGACAGCAGTCATGGAGGGCGAGGGGGCCAACCCGTGAGGCCAGGGCGCGGGGCTCCTTGCCGAAACCTCGAGGACGTCGCCATCGCCCACCCGGCTCCCCTCCCCTCCTCTCCTCTCCCATCCCCTCCCCTCCCCGCCCTCGCGGCGCCTTGAACTAGACAATGGCGCGCGCGGCGGCAATCGCTATTTTAAAACAGTGCGCTGCCGCCGTGCCGTGCTTGCGTTCAAGTCCCTGATGCAGACCGATTCCGAGAGTCCCTTTCGTCGCTCTGTCTCTCTCGCCCATACAGAATGCCCAAACGAGTGCGATAGAGACAGCGTCCAAGTCTGCACCTACCCCCGATTTTTTCCCCATTTTAATTCAACAAAAACAAACCAGACTGTCGTTTGCTCTGCCGCCACACAGGGGGCCAGAAGACCGGCGGAGGCCGCCAAAATTCTCAATGCGTTTTGAGCTCCAGAGTCGCTATACAGGACTCGAACCGAACGTGTGACCCCACCAATGGATTCCTCGTTCGAAGAGCAATCCATTGGTGGGGTCATACGTTCAGTTCGAGTCCCATTTAGCGACTCTGGAACTCAAATCGCGTCTAGAATTTTGACCGCCTCCGCCGGTCTTCTGGCGCACTATGCAAGGCAGTGCACCTCCCGGTATTCTCCCGTTTTAATTCAACAAAAACAACCAGGCTGTCGTTGGCGCCACGGCAACGCACTAAACCCTCGTCTGTCAAAAAACACGGCTCAAGCGTGCTGAAGTCGCTGAGGTGGCGCCAGCGGGACGAGGCGAAACGCCCCGCCGCAGCGTGCGCAGCGTCCTACACTGTGTGGGGTGCGCGGAGTGGCAGAATGGCAGAATCCACCGCCATTGTCCGGACTGCATAATGATGCAGATGGCCAGGCCGCGCCATCTGCAGGTGGCGTGCCGCCAGTGGCGCGCGGCGCGGCGGGGAGTCGAACCCACGGATTGCAGCACCGGCCCCTCATCAAGGGATTCTTCGTTGAGTACATGCTTCATTCATTTATAGAGAGAAATGCGCATAGATGCGGTCATTGTTTTGAATGATCCGCTAGGTCTGTGCAACACTGTGCTATAACGCTTTCAGAACGACAATAGGACTGATGTTAAGTTTATCATTTCTCAGTCGGGTTTGTTGGCAATGCAAGAGCTGCCATTCAATCATAAGCTTTAATGGTTTTTTTTAAGTGCATGTGTCTTCTGCTCATGCGATCCTAGAGGCAGCCTACTCGATCTGTGCCGCAGATCCACTACATGAAAATTGGTGCGAAACAGGGAATGACCAAAACATTGTGATGTCGGTGGGGCGCAGGGAAGGACCACGACCACAGCCGTGCTGTGATTGGCCATGCCGTCTGATTAACGCTCATCGGCGACGTCACTCTGTCTCTCTCGCACTCATGGGGCGTCATGTAATAGTGCGAGAGAGACAGCGACGAAAAAGCGCCGTTCGGAATCAGTCCGCTAGTGTCCCTGTCCTCGCCCCTTCGTTTTCTTTGTGGGCTCCTCTGCCGGAAGTCACGCACCCGCGTCCCTCCGGCCGTCAGCGCGCTGCGTGCGGACGGCGCTCCCGTCTCTCTCGCACCCTTCCGTGACGCCCCGTGAGTCACCGTGAGTGCGAGAGAGACAGAGCGAAGGGGGCGCAGGCCGGCCGCGTAACGCGCTAATCCAACACGCGGCCCGGGCAGGGACCTGGTCTGCTGCACCGCGGTGGCGACCATTCCTGCTCGGCGGCAGGAGCACTGTCGCTCTGTCTCTCTCGCACCCCCACGATGCGCGCGATGCGCCCGACGAGGCGAGAGAGACAGCGCGACACCGGCCTGCTGACGGACCGACAAAACGCGGTGAACCGCAGCGGTGAACCGGCCGGCCGATGACAACAACACCTGTGCCTTGCCGCGCCGCGCCGAGCCGCACCGAGCGCAGGCTGATGACTTAAGCCGTCCTAACCTCCAAACTCACCTGAAGCACGGAGACGGCGAGCACCAGCCAGACGACGCGCAGCAGCGCCAGCTTCGCCATTCTTGCACTTGGGACACTTTTCCTTGAGCAGCGACGTGCAACACCCACTGGCGGGGGACTGTCGGGCCGAGCTCACACACTACACGCACTTCACGACGGTGGCACATCCAGGCACATCTTCGGGCGGCTGGCCCAACGCGCGCCAAAGGATCTCCTGCGATCTCGCGAGACGGGCGGACAGGCGGGCACTGTGGTCGTTGGTCCTCGGGGCTGTCACTGAAAGGGCACACTCACTCGCGAAACCCCGGGACCGCGTCGACGAGTCGGTTCGGTATTTCGGTTTCGAAGCGCGCGGCGCGAGGCTCGGAACGACGACGGAATCCGCGAAGCTGGTCGCACGCCTCACCGCGGCGCTGTTCGGAGGAGCACTGAGGTGCGCGCCAGAGCAACGGGCGGAGCGGGGCGGAGTCCGGGGGCGTGGAGCGGCGGAGAGGGGGGCAGGGGGGCCTCGCCGCGACCAGCCGCGACCGCGGAGAATTCCCCCACCCCACCCCACGCACGCACCTGGACCTGGAACCAGGTGCCCAGGTGGCCGCGGCCGGCCGGTGCAGTTCTTCCCCGCGCATTCCCGTCGCTTGCAGCACTTTTGCCAAATTCTCGTTCTCGGCGACGAGCGGCGCAAAACGGCAAAACGGAGAGGCAGTTCCGTCATCCGCCTGCAGCCATTCCGAGAGTCGTTTTCGTCGCTCGGTCCTCTCGGTCCCTCTCGCACTCCTGTATCTCCTCAAGACAACTTCAAGAAACTGATCAATCCCTTTCGCTAAGTTTACACCATGTGTTTCAGAAACCCCGTAGAAGTTCGAAGGTATGCAACCCGCTCGCCGTCGTGCGGGCGGGCTTGCCTCCGCGCTGGCCGACGGGCGCCGCAGCGATCATGGGTTGCCACTCGTCCACTAGTGCAGCTTAGTGCAGCTGGGTGACGACGTCCCCCTTCGCCTCGCCGCTCCGGTTGCGCTCGGCTTGCCCGGTCAACTGTCACAGGTGGCGCTAGCGTCGTCTATCGGCCGCCAATCAAACCATCTCGAATGATGTCGCTAGCCGACGAACCACTGATCGGCGAATGTTTGCGAATTTAGCGACATCTTCCTAAATGGTTTGATTGGCGCCGAGCGCAACCGGAGCGGCGAGTGCACGAGTGGCAACCCGTGATCGCTCCGGCGCCCGCCGACCAGCGCGTAGGCAAGCCCGCCCGCACGACGGCGAGCGGGTTGCATACCTTCAAACTTCTACGGGGTTTCTGAAACACCTGGTACATTATAAGGTTTTTAATAAACTTGTCACAAAAAAAATAATGAGGCGTCCCATAAAGATGCGAGAGAGACAGAACGACGAAAACGATTCCTCGAAATCTCGGTTCAATGTTTGTACCGCGAGAAAATTTCAATTTCGGAGGAAGAACTCCCACGCGCGAAACAGCAGTCTGATTTCCAAACACAGCTTTCGATTGGACCTTTGCCTTCGTCACTGTATCCCTCTCTCTGCTCAATTTTCATGTTGCATACGTTGCGTGTTTGGACGTTACCTCCAGTGCGAAAGTTTGGTACTTCAAACTATGTTACTTACAACTTCAAACCATTTAAAACTCGCGCCTCTGCTGCTGATGTTCTCATCTCATCCCATATTCTGTCCTAGCGATTTTGCATACTCCGCCTCCTTGCCTCCCCTCCTCCCCCTCTCCTCCCCCACCTCTCCGGAATACCTTTCTGTTTATTTATTTACCTCTATTCCGGACGGGGAAATCGACCGGATTCCACACTGATAAACGTTTCCCATGAAAAGAATGTGACAAAGGAGAGTCGCATGACAGCCTGCATCTCATTCAGTAATGGAGGTGGTGGATAGGCTCTATTACATAGACCAAATGTCTATCTTGTAACTTGACAGGGAAAACCTAACCTACCTCTAACAAATGCCGTTCTGAAGAAATCTCTGCCTCACTTGGTAGAAAGTATGATACAGCACTTCGAAACTTCAGAGCAATCCTTTACTGAATCCATCAGTCTATTTTTTCACTCTTTTCTCTCATGAGTGCTTGGCGATGCAAGCAAAGTGCCGTCCTAAACAAGTAGTTTGACACTTCACTTTGCGTGAACATGTCCCTCTTCAAGGCACGAGAATGGTGGGGTACTACTTGTGGCCAGGATGAAGGCTTTGATCAGGTATTATTAGCGTAATTTTTATTTCTTTCAACCTATTTCACCTTAGTTAATTTCACTACCCGCTTTAACCATTTCCTCTGTTTTGTTTGAAGGCATCGCTTTGCGTGTCTGGACTGGGTAGTAGTGGCAACGAGACTTCAATGGTGATTGTCGGAAGTCATGCCGGGACTGTGCGAGTATTTTGTCCCAATCTTCCTCCTGCCTCTGAAGCTCCAGGATACAAACCTAGTGACCTTCTCATCGAAGCCACTTTACCTCATCCCATACTGCATCTTCAAGTTGGCCGATTTATCTCGTATGTAATTATACAAGTAGTGTGGTTGAAGTTCATGGCTTGTTAGCTAATGACTCACTTTGATCTACATTCAGCGGCTCACAACAGTTTCATTTGGCTGTTTTACATCCACGGAGTGTTGCTATATATAGCCTAGTGATTCGTGGAGGCAATACAGATCATGGTAAGTGGATATCAAGTTAAATCTAATTTTTCATTTCAGTCTGCTTATGAATTTGTTTTTTTGTGCATTTCCAGGTGATCAAAGTGCATTAGTATTTGTCTATGAGCATCAGCTTAGAAGATCAGCTTATAGCCTTGTTGCGGGGCCCTTTGGAGGAGTAAAAGGGAGAGACTTCATTTGTGTTCAGTCTCTAGATGGAATGCTCTCATTTTATGAGCAGGAATCCTTTGTTTTCTCAAGACAGCTTCCCAATTTCCTACTGCCAGGACCTCTTATTTTTGTTCCCTCAACTGATGCATTTGTCACCTGCAATTCTCTTCTTCACATTGATAGCTTCAGGTAAAATCTTGTACATAAGAAAGCTCATTCAATGTGGCATGTCATTTTTCCTTTTTTGTTATTCTTTTCTTTTCTTTCATGACTACCAGGTATCAAGTGTTGGCGGATACAAGAGAAGATGCCAACAAGCAACTGACACCTGAGTGGAGCCTAAATATAGGGGAATCTGCTCTTGACATTGCCTGTGTGTCCCATTCGCCTTCAGAGGTGGACATTTTAGTTTTGGGAGAGCACAATCTGTTTTGCCTTCGAGACCATGGAACCTTGAAATTCATGCGGCGGTTTGAGTTTCACCCTCGGTGCTTTCATTCATATCGCACAGGTGCCCTCTTGCTTCAGTCTTTTTATGTCTTGGTTTTTGTAATTGTTGGTGCCATTTTACAATTTTTTTTGTATTTTTACAGCTCCTGAGGGACTGTTGATGACACTTATCGCCACTGACACTGGAACACTTCTTGTACAGAACAGTACCACTCTAAAGTGGTCGGCACAGCTCTCTATATCACCCATTGCCATAGCACGGGCCTCTCTCCAGGTAATAATTATGTAAATATGTTGGAGCATTGAACAAACAAAGATTGTAATATTACTGATGCTCTCCTCTTTTTATTTCAGGGCGTGGATGGAGTGATAGTATTACTTTCAGAAACAGGCGAGCTGCAGTGCTGTTATCTCGGAACGGAGCCCTCCCTGTTTGTAGCTCCGTCAATAGAGCCCAAACCCATTGACTATCAGGAAGCAGAGCGAGAGCTAAACTACCTGGGCAGTGTTATAAGAGCTTTTAATGACAATTCTAGTAGGATCAAGTTTCTCTACTGTTCTGAACATAACATCATAACATTTGTTTTAAAGGCTTGCCTAGCATAAATTGCATTGGTGTATTTTTCAGGCGTTCTGATGGCCAATACAGCTGCAGAGCGTGAACTCACAGTCAACGTCAAACCAGGTCAACATCCTGAAACACGAGGGGACTCAGATGTTTGCTATGTGGCTGTAAATTTGGCCCCTCATTCTGCTCATGCTCCTCTGACTAAAGTCCAGGTCACTCTTGTAGCTAAAGCCCCATTAGTAGTTGACCCACCAACTCATACAATACATTCTTTAAGTAAGTGTAATACTCAACCAAGGTCAACAACAGCTGTTACTGTTTCATGTTTTTTTTACTCCTGTTAACTTTTTTGTTACACAGGCGAAGCATACCAGGTGGCTAGCTATGTTGTGTTGAAAAATGCTACTGCGGAATTCGTGTGCTCTTTAGAAGTGTCAATCATGGTTTCCTACATGACTGCGTCTGGTATACCCCGAGTTCTGCATTCAAACTGTCAACTCCCTCTTCGCCTTGTAGCCCGCCCATCCCCTCCAGGCAAAGAAGCAGAAATAAAATTAACTTTCAACACCAATGTTCCTGTTGTCAACTTGCTTGAACTCTTCCCAGGTAATTTCAAATGAAATACACACTTTCAAATGTTTTATGATACTTACAATTTTGTCATTTGCTCTAATAAATTAATATTCTCTTTATTCCTATCCTAGAATTCAATGTCTCTGGAGCGGGTGCCAATATTATAGGATTTTCCCTCGGCTCCACTGTGGTTACTTTGATTGCTGCCAAAATGTCAACCCGTTATCGTGTCCAGTCTGACAGCCTTTTCCCACTTGCTCTTTTATCAAAGCAACTTGTCTATCGCCTTCAGCGTTTCTCAAAGAATGCAGATCAAAAATCATCATTTAAAATTACCTCATCATCACCCCTACCCGTAGAGCTTTTGTTCTCTTGCATTGAGAGCCACATGGGGAGTAGAAAAGATGTTTCTGATCTAAGGGTAAGTAGTGCAAGTACAACTATCTAAGATTTTGTTAAATGCTCATGACTCATATTTATTCTCTTTCCTGTTTTCTTGAAGGATGATCTTGGCCAATTATCTGTTCAATTTCGAGCAATTGAGAGAAGACTTCTAACAAAAATGAAAGACAAGAAGCCAGTACCACTAAATCAGCTTGATACTCTCCTATATGCAACTCAAAATGAAATTATTAGTACCAGTCATAAACTAGAAAAATCACTCAAGGTACCAGTCCTGTTTTTTCTTTAAAAAGTGCTACTTTTAAATTTATTGTACAGTGTATTGTATTTTTTGTGATTTATTTTCAGGCTTTAGGAAAATCTCAATATAGCTTGGCATGTGCTGTAGAATTGATTCACTTAATGCTGCTATTGTCTGACCCACCTCCTCAAGACCTGAAAACATTTCAAGCTGCTATGCCCTCTATTGTAACAGACTCAGATGACCAGGTACTGTAAATGTATAAAAATATATCTACCTTCACTTTGCAAAAAATTCAACAAACAAAATTAAATTATAATTTCTCTTATTTTCAGAGTTGGGAAGATGTAACATTTGCTTCACTCCAATTTATTTTGAACTCACACCAGAAGAGAGACCCCTTGACAGCAGCCCCTGCCAATGAACCTTTAGTTGATTTTTCTAACTTGAAAAGTTTGATAAACTCTGTGCTTTCCATAATGACAGCAGATTCACATGCTACTGGTACCATTGATGCTGAAGGTGATCAGGACATATTTATATTTGCTCAAGGCAATAACTTCCATTATGTATTTTCTCAGCTTAATGTGTGATATTGTAACCCTTTTTCATTATTTTTAAGGTCGTAAACCAATTTCACCAATTCATGAGTCTGAAGAGGTAGAAGAAGAACCTTCAGTACCAGCTGGATCCCGTTTGGCAGAGACAAGAGTACCGTCTGCTAATCTGCTTCAGAGAAACAGACTCCTTCCTAGTCGACCTACAGCAGGTACGTTAACTGTACACTTCATATCTGCAATGGTTTTTCCTCATGTTCTGTGCCTTTGAAAATATTTGTTTGGTGCAGATGCTGTACCACAAAACACCTCAGAGGTTGAAAGCAGCCTTGCTAAACTTACAGTTTCTGCTGCAAGTAAGCAAAATTCTGAAGATGAAGTCTTGTGGATTTGATCTACATTCATCTTGTGTGAAGTAAAATTTTTTTAACATTATTTTGTTTTTACTCTTAAGCACTTACTCTTTTGTTTCAATTCCTATGTTCAAGCTTGATTTCAATGGTTGTGGGGTTCTGTGAACCTGTACCCGTTATATGTAATAATTTTGAGACTACTGTCTGAGTGTGTCCTGAAGTTCACTGGCAATGATTGATTATAAGTGTACCTGTCTGTCTCACTAACCAAGACTGTCAGTTTTAATTGGCAGATTCTTTTAAAACGAAGTTCTAGTCAAGGAACCAAAAGTACAATTTGTATGTTATGTTATTTGTGATATTGGGCTTGGTGGGAAATAAGTCCATTTTAAATGATCTGACAGGACCAAAATATTTGGGTCTTGAATGTGACAAGCCAGTATTTTACTATGTGATGATTGAATTTTTAATAATGCTGCACTGACTATAGATAGGATAAAACATTGACAAGACCAATATTTTTACTGTTTCTTTTATTCATAATTGTTATAATTTCAAAGCAGATTTTTAAAAAATATGGCTGAGTAGCTGTTATGAAAACTTATTCTTCAAGTAAAATCACATTGTTTCCAGTGGGTCTCTGTCTTTTGATGACACAACAAAGTCAATCTAGAGAAAAGAGCAAAAGTAATGCATTATTACTGGAAAGTAAATCTCTTCTAAAATGACTGTAAGTTGTGAGCTACTGTACCTCCGGCATCAGATTTTTCAGGTGCTGAGTAGCTGCAATCTTCAAAAATCCTCTCTCTGAGTTTGAATGCCGTGTCAGAATGACATGAACTCCCTTGTGCACTGCGTCCAAGACTTCGTGATGTGACATTTCACCTGTGTATTCAAATAGAGTTAAAATCACTGTCAAGCCAAAATTTTCAAAGAGTGAATGTGCATTAGTAAAAATTATTCTATCTTTGGAGATGTTTTGTGTTCATTGTCAAACCACATTTTCTCCTGAAGTCGTGAACTAATCAATACAATGATTAAAGGATAAGATACGAACCTGTGAGGTAAAGATCGGCATCCACACCTTTCAGAACACTTCCTCCTGATCCAGCACAAAGTGCTATGGAGGACACCTTGCTTTCTGTGAGCAGATCAAAAGAAACAGGCATAGTTTTAAGAATGAAACAGTAAATAGAAACACAAAAGGACAAGTCTGAGCCAAACTTACCAGTGGTCTCTCCACTTGCCACAGCAACCGCAACATCTGCCAAACCAGTGTGCTCTTTGACAAGCATTACTGCAAGCTGAAGAGGAATTGGTTCCTTCAGCAGCACTTTTCGTCCTGCACCCGCATTGAATCTGGTAGGCATCTGTTCATGAATTCACTTTATTAATTTTCAAGACCTGACTAACAAACCAGAAGTAAAAGATGCCATTTACTATACCTTTGTGTGTACAGAGATGTCAATATCAAGTGCAGATCTAAGGAAGGGAATGCACTTATACTCCTCATCAATGTAGATTTTAAGCCAGACTTTTCCATCTCTTTGACTGGAATAAGACAGAACACATCATTTGATGTTGATATTATTAATTGAAAGACAACTTCAGATACATCTGCAAATTTACAAAATGATTATGCAAACACCTACTCTATCACATTCATGTTGCAGGGAAGAGCAGCTTTTATCTCTCCCATTGCTTTTTCAGCTGTTTCACCATTAGGGAACAAGGCGTTTACTATTTTACTGCTGCAGCCTTCATTGTACCGTTTCAATGGAGTTACAGAGGCATTTTTGCTCTCTTAAAAAAACAAAAATATAGCATAAGAAGTTTATAAGGTACAGATAACTTATTACGTATATTCAAACTATATTTGTATTCAATACTGATCATAAGTAATTTTTTTCTCACCAAAGGCACCTGCTAGCCAATCATTAACACCACCTTCAACACAATCCCATGCAGTATGGGGACAGTATAGAGCTATTTGTTTGTGGAGGAGAGTCCCAACAATTCTCTCCTGGACAAAGAGAGGGCACATCGGTAAGATATGAGAATACTTCACACAATACTTAGCACGGACAATGTTATTAGTTACCTTCCAGTTGTTAGAATTCACCGATTTTACAGATGGAAAAATCAGTGGATGATAAGATATAACTAGCTGTGCATCAACTTCAATAGCTTCCTCAAGAACTTCTTCAGTAAGATCATTAGTGAGCAAAATTTTTTTAATCTGTTGGGAAACAAAAGATTGGTTAATAAACTTCCGCAACATACGGACAAAACACGAGAAAAAAATTTTACGTACCAGTTTTGGAGACGTGTGCGATACCAACAACCCAACATTGTCCCATGATTCAGCCAACTGACGGGGAGCGAAAGTTTCAATTTTGCGAACAACACTTTCCAGGGAACAGGGATCGTTATAGTAGCTTTGTGAGAAGCTTCCTGTAAGTTCATCATATTGAATCAAACTGCACAAATGCTAAAATGCGATGACATGAGAGCCGGCCTCAGGTCCCATGGATGGTGGAAGATACAAGTACGGGTACATACCATGCTTTCTTTTACGTGGCATCGTTCTCAAAGCTTCTACAGGCCAAGCAAAGCGTTCAACAGCAAGAAAACACCTCCTAACAGAGCACAAAAGTGTCATGAAATCGCCTCGCCTCGAAGCACTGTGCACCAAAAATCAGCTGTAAAAACGCACAGTGTAATTTGTCATACACTACATAACACACAGAAACAAGCTATGAGAAATTAAAAGAAGAGAGTGCAAGCAAAAAAATTATTTTGAATGAAAGAGCAGAGCTCGAACTAGTTTTCTATTTTTGAACGTTGTTTACTCAATGTCACGACGTGAGTCTAAACCTGGCTAGCTAGAGACAGTATTAACATGAAAACTACGGGAGGTTTCTTCGGTTTAAGTGGACCTTTCGCTGCGTTATCTGGAGTGGCGGCAGCTTCTGCTAGTGTTTTCGGTAAACTGTTCTCCTCGGTGAGTATTAGACTGCGAACTGGGTCTAAATCAACAAACAAAATTTTAGATTCAGTGCCATTCCTAACCGAGAAAGTTAAATCGGCTTTGGCGCTCAATCGAGAATTTATCCATTCACACTCTAACCTAACCCTTGCCGGGGTCTTATTCTCAGTTCTTTTTCATTACATACTCTTGGAGTGTGTGCTTTGGGAATTCCCTCCCGTCCTGAGAAAAATACTGTAGCGCCGGCCTGCGAGTGCTCCATGCTTACCGGACGTTGCTCCCAACAGATTGAAGGAAGCCCGCGAAAGGAGAAAGGGGAGGGGAGGGGGTATAAGTCGGCCGCCGCGGGAAAGGTCGTGGGTTCGAATCCTCCCGGCAGTGTGCCGTATTTTATTTCAGCCTTCGCTCTCATTTTCAGGCCGGCTCGCCATGGCTCGGCGCGGTGCTGATCGCCTGCATGGTGGTGTCCAACGGCTTGGTCTGGACTCTGTTCGTCCGCGCGCTGAGGAGTTCGCAGTCTTCCCTCACCGTGACGGTCACCAGTGCCGCAGTCAATTACTGCTGCTCGGTGAGACAAAACAGTGTGGGGGAAAGGAAGGGGCGCACAGTGGGCCAGAAGACCGATGCCGGCGGCCAAAACTCTTGTCGCGTTTTGAGCTCCAGAGTCGCCAAGCAGGACTCAAACCGAACGTCTGACCCCACCAATGGATTCCTCGTTTGGAGAGCAGACCATTGGTAGGGTCACACGTTCGGTTCGAGTCCCATTTAGCGACTCTATGTAGCTCAAAGCGCGTCTTTTTGGCCGCGTCCATCGGTCTCCTGGCCCAATGTGGGGCGCGGTGGCGGATCCAGTGGAAAAGGGGGGGGGGAGCACTTTGTGCCTACTTACAGGGGCAACGTGTGGCTTTTTTCCGACATTTCAGGCGGTTATCTGCGGAGAGGGGGCAGAAACCCCTTTGCCCCTCCTGTTCTTGTATCCGCGCCTGAAAGGGGGTCGGAGGGGGCGAGGGGTAGGTTGTTGTCGCACCCCGTATGCTTAGTGCTGCCCGCAAGAGAATCCCGAGCTCAACTGACTAAAGTGCCGCATTTTTATCTCCTTTTCCTTTCCTTGTTTGCAGGCTTTGTTCGGTTGGCTCCTGTTCTCCGAACGCACCAGCGCGCTGTGGTGGCTGGGCTCCGGCCTCGTCGTCGCCGGCCTTCTGCTCATGAACAGCGGCACCCCCAACCCCGACGCCCTGCCCGACGACAAACAAGACTGAACTTCCCCGACAACGCATTTAGCTTCCACGTATTTTCGTAATTGTTTGACCCCTAACATTCCCATATGTAAATAAAGTTATTTTTTTGCTGTTTTTGTTTTTAAAAAGCGTCGACTTTCCGTTGTTTCGCTCCCGCCCTCGTCTCCGCAAAGGCCCGACGGCATACGTGACTTGCAACAAAGGGGTGTGCTGTGTGTTGTGGTGTGCACCAAGACACTAATGAGAGCCTGGTGGAGGGGGAAAGGGCGAGGGGGGAAAGGGGGGGGGGTGACTGATGAGCATGTACCGTGTCCCCACACCGTTAGCGTCTGCGTCGCCGTCATCCAAGCTTTCGGTGACCCCAGTATTAAATCAACGACGCAACTCCGGTGTATGGAAAGGCCGCAAAATGAGCCCTCGCGTTGGACGGTTGGACGGACACCACCCCCGCGTTGGACAGTTGGACGCCGCCCCCGCTTGGGGGGGGGGGCGTCACGAACAAGCCGGGTGGTCCTATCTCCTCGTTTTGTGTCACTTGCCCATTGTCGGGTCGCGTGATGTCGAGACTCGTCGCTTCGATAGTGTAGTGCGGCACGCCAGCCGCCCACAACACGGCAGCAGACTGAATCCGAGAGTCTTTCTCGTCGCTCTGTCTCTCTCGCACTCATAGGCGTCCCCCTCAGGTGCGAGAGAGACAAAACGGTGAAAGCGACCCTCGGAATCAGTCTGCAGCACCGCAGCCCGCAGGGTGATTGCAGGCCTTTGCAATTAGCATCCGTTCGATCCCCCGAGCCTGAGGCTCATGCCAAGCAGTGCTTTCGTCGCTCTGTCCTTCTCGCACTCCGAGGGACGCCCCGTCGGGTGGGGCTGCGAGAGGGACAGAGCGACGAAAGCGCTGTTCGGAATCAGGCCGCTGCACAGTGGGCCAGAAGACCGGTGGAGCGGCCAAAATTCGAGACGCGTTTTGAGCTCCAGAGTCACTAAATGGGACTCGAACCGACCGCGTGACCCCACCAATGGACTCCTCGATGGCGGAGCAATCCATTGGTGGGGTCACTTGTTCGGTTCGAGTCCTTTTCAGCGACTCTGGAGCTCAAAACGCGTCTCGAGTTTTGGCCGCTCCACCGGTCTTCTGGCCCACTGTGCGCTGCCGGCCCTGCGGCCCTGCGACACTGACACGAGGAGTTGCAGGAACTGGGTCGCGTTCCCTGGTTGGCGGCAGCGGCAGCGATCGCTCGGGGACCTCCAAGACGTACATTCAAGCGGCTTAATCTCGTTTAATGACAGTGGAAACGTAGATGCGAACGAGGATAAGGCCTGGGCCTCGGCCTGGACGGCCGCGAGCACGAGGGTCGAGTAGGCGCAGCACAGTGGCCCAAAAGGCCGGTGGAGGTGGACAAAATTCTAGGCGCGTTTTGAGCCCCGGAGTCGCTAAATGGGACTCGAATGGTACGTGTGACCCCACCAATGGATGATTGCTCTCCGAACGAGGAGTCCATTGGTGGGGTCACACGTCCGGTTCGAGGCCTGTTTAGCGACTCTGGACCTCAAAACGCGTCGGGAGTTTTGTCCGCCTCCACCGGTCTTCTGGCCCACTGTGCGCAGGCACGCTCCGCCGCACTGTCTCTCTCGCACCCAGGGGGCGGTCCGCAGGGGTGCGAGAGAGACAGCGACAAATGGGCTATTTAGTTCGCCTCGCGCCTGACGGGAGCGAAGGCGCGAAGGCGCGGGCGAGAGCGCCTTGGGGAGTGGTGGGGGGATCGGTTCGGGCTTCGACTGCCTTCGGCTGGACCCGAGACCCGAACTGGCCCAGCCGAAGGCACCGAACGCATCCCCCCACCACTCCCCAAGGCGCTCTCGCCCACGCCTTCGCGCCTTCGCGCCTTCGCTCCCGTCAGGCGCGAGGCGAACTAAATATCCCAAAAGCGCCGCGAGCGACCGCTCTGCAGGGCGCCGCGGGCAGCACGGCCCGGCCGTGCCCGCGACCCCGCGTGCGGCGGGGCTGACTGCGAAACCTTGTACCTTACCAGTGTACCCCACACGCGGCGAGCGGCCAACAACACTGTAACGGCGACAAGGCGTACCCCTTGCAGCCTACCCCGCGACACGCCACCGCACAGTGGGCCAGAAGACCAGTGGAGGCGGTCAAGACCCCGGACGCGTTTTGAGCTCCTGAGTCGCTAAATGGGACTCGAATCGAACGTGTGACCCCACCAATGGACTCCTCGTTCGGAGAGCAATCCATTGGTGGGGTCACACGTTCGGTTCGAGTCCTGTTTAGCGACTCTGGCGCTCAAAACGCGTCTAGAGTTTTGGCCGCCTGCGCCGGTCTTCTGGCCCACTGTGGAGCGTAACAGCCTACCCCGCGACACGCTACCGCCTCGCTACCGCTGGCTCGGTAGCTCTCGGCCCCGCAGCCCCTGCGCCGAGTGCCGAGCCCTCCTTTCAGAGCGAGCTGGCCCACGCGGCCGCGGCGGCCCAGGCCAGCCGGCTGGTTCGATATCGGGGATATAACGCGCGCTAGTGCACAGACTGCTGGGCTGGCTGGGCTGGGATCGCCGCGGTGGGGGTGGGGGTGGGGGTGGGGGCGCGTGGCACAGCGGGCACAGCTGGCTGGAGGGGCGGAGTGGCTCGCGCCGCGCCGCGCCGCGTGGAGGGCGTCTCGTCTGGACAATGGCAAACAAAGGCAAACGAAGCGCCGGCCCGGGCGGACCGAGCGGAGAGTCGTCGCTCTGTCTCTGTCGCACCCATAGGGAACGTCACATGAGAGCGAGAGAGACAGAGCGACGACTCTCAGTCTGCAGGGACGGAGAGCGCAGCGTGACAAATTAATTGGGACGTCACAAATGAAGTGCGCGGGGCGGGGCGACGAGTGGGTGGGGACGTGAGGCAATTGGAAAGCCGGGAAGCTACAGTGATAAAAATAAAGAGCGAAGGGTGGCAGTGGCGATTATGAACCAATGGTGGATCCAGAGTCAGCGTCAAGGAGAGGGGGAGGGGGCCAAGTAGCACTTTTTTACGTATTGTCACCGCTCAAACTGGCCTCACGCGCGGACGAGGTTCCGCAAGTCGCCGCGAGATGGCGCTGCGCGCGCCGAGCCGCCGCCCGCTCGCGCTGGCGACCTACGTTAGTGTTGTAACTAGTTGGTAAGCAATCTCACCCACGTTGCGTCATTTGACCGGCACGTGTTCGTTATACGTATTAACGTGGAAGCTTTCGGTCCGAACGTCTACAACGACCAACCTTGAATGACTCATCGAGTGCGGTGCGCGTTCACATGACTGTTCCCCTAGGAGGACGAGCGCCTGCTACGGCAACGGCCGTTCCCTCCGAAGGCCTAGCATTGAGTACATCGTTTGTACGACCTCTTTTTGTCCGTCCTGCCGAAATTCGTCCGACCTCCTTCCCACTGATATATTGTTCTACGACCTCTTTTTGTCCGACCTTACCACCGCCTCAGCCCCCTGCCCCCTCAACACTCGACAAACAACACATGGTACCCTCGACGGAGTCATATAAAGTTTGGTTTAAAATAAAACGTAAAAAATTTGAACCCTACGACCCTCTCCCCCCCGCAATGGGGGTTCGAGCCGCCTGCTTAACTTCGGTGTTCGGATGGGAACCGGTGTGTCCAGGCTTTAAACTGCTACCGCATAGTTCAGCTTCTGTAGGACCGCTATTGCCTTCTTACACATGAAGGACCGCCTTATGAGGGCAGCCGGCGATCGTAGGGTGACAGAGATAGAGAGACAGAGAGAGACAGACAGAGAAGAGGTTTGGTGGGAGCTTCTTGTTTTCGTAGGGTTGGTTGTGTACCCCATGGTACCCCCACTGTCCGGCGCTCCCGTACCGAACATACAGCGTTTTAGGCCAGCTTCAAAGGACTTATCATCGCCTCCCCGACAAATCGAGGAGGCACCACCCGCAACCACACACCGGGTGGTCTGGATTGATGGATCGAATACTCCATCGCTCCAGTGCCGAGGCCAACCCGCCGAAGCGGATTGCTTTTTAGACACCCACAGCGGAGTGGCCAGGTGAATGTGACTCTGACCACTACGCTATCACGCTGTACGTCCGGCCGAGTGTTGGACGACGGCTTTGAGTTGCAGTGGGAGGAAGGCAGTCGAAAAATGTAATGAAATGGTGAGTTTCGATCCCCGGACCCCGCCAATGGGATCTCACGACTTTACGCTCTCGGCCGCCACGACCCATTAAATGTGGAGCGGCGTGAGGTGGGTTCTTAACGCTACAGGACTCGACCGACCCGGTCAAAATTTTGCAAGAAGCTGGGGGAGTCGAACCGCCGGCCCTTGCACTCGGAATCGACGCCTCTACTCTCTGGACCACCACGTCCCACGCTCGGCGTGGGTTCTCGTTCACGGGTTTGAACCGCACTGGGTGAGGCAGTAAAATTAAATGGAAATATTTGTTAGGAGTCGAACCTCCGGCATGTGGGCCTGTTGCCCACGGCTCCGCTCTGATGGCCTCAAACCACCACCCATAGGATAGCAAGTCGAAAAAACTTTAGTGACGCTGGTATTCGAACGCCGGCCTGCGGTAACTCGATCTCACGTCTCTAACCTCTCGGCTACACACCTGTGATAGGAACAAAGCTTCCATCGAGTTTTACCACTGCTGTGATAGCCGAGAGGTTAGAGACTCATTATCAGATTGGAAACATCGGAATGTGGGACGAACGGACCACGATAACCGACAAATACAGTGCAATGAAACGTGAGTGAGAAGAGGAATGAAGAGCAGAGGACAGCAAATGAATGGCGGAGCGTCGGTCGACGAACGAGCGCGACGACGTAAAGCAACGTGAAGCACCGGGAGCTGTAAACACAGAGCCGCACAGAGCCAGCCAGACAATAAAAACGGCAATAAAAGCCAAGATCTCTGGCGACAACAAAAAGCCAGGCGGCGTTTGCTACGCCACCCTCGAAAAACAAAAAACAGAAGAAAAACGTAAAAACGCACCACACCACCTACGGCGCCGATGTCCACGCCAAGGAAATTGAAGCTTGCGGTGGAGGGGGCTGCTTGTGTTCGAGGCGGGGGTGGGGGTTGCCGGCATGCTCCGGGTGGGGCGGCGGGCCCGCGCCCGCAGCGCAGCAGTGTGCCCCAGAGCTGCCCCCGGGTAGCACGCGTTGGCGCCGAGGGCTCCGAGCGGCAAGCCCCGCGCGGCGCGCCGGCCGTGGTCTGCATGGCCGTCGCCGCGAACACGTGCGCACGGGCACGGCCGAGGGCTCGGCGCCACCACCATGGGCAATGGCATGAACAAGGTAAGGAGCCTGCCGCCTCGTGGGGCACGTGTCACGGACGGCGTCGCGTTGTTGCACCGCCTCGTCGTGCACGTGTCACGGACGGCGTCGCGTTGTTGCACCGCCTCGTCGTGCACGTGTCACGGACGGCGTCGCGTTGTTGGGGCGCCTCGTCGTGCACGTGTCACAGACGGCGTCGCGTTGTTGTGGCGCCTCGTCGTGCACGTGTCACGGACGGCGTCGCGTTGTTGTGGCGCCTCGTCGTGCACGTGTCACGGACGGCGTCGCGTTGTTGTGGCGCCTCGTCGTGCACGTGTCACGGACGGCGTCGCGTTGTTGTGGTGCCTCGTCGTGCACGTGTCACGGACGGCGTCGCGTTGTTGTGGCGCCTCGTCGTGCACGTGTCACGGACGGCGTCGCGTTGTTGCACCGCCTCGTCGTGCACGTGTCACGGACGGCGTCACGTGTAGAGAGCCACGTCCCCCGGGCGAAACTGCTCGAAACTATTCACGAAGCGTCAGTCACACACAACAAGCAGTGCAGTCTTGATTAGCACAATCCCTGAGACCCCCAGAGGAACTCGGCCATTCTCGCCTGACCTGCTTCGCGCGCTTCGCCCGCTTCGGCAAGGAGGACGCCTCTCCCGGTAATCCGATCAGCACATGCACGTCTCTCGCGGAACAAGCCAAGTCGGAGGCGCGACGCGCGTCGCCAACGGGTGCATCGCGACGTCGCACAGTGGGCCAGAAGACCGGCGCAGGCGACCAAAACACTAGATGCGTTTTGAGCTTCAGAGTCGCTAAACAGGGCTCAGGCCAAACGTGTGACTTCACCAACGGATTGCTCATTCGAAGAGCAATCCATTGGTGGGGTCATATGTACGGTTCAAGTCCCATTTAGCGACTCTGGAGCCCAAAACGCGTCATGAAGTTTGACCGCCTCCACCGGTCTTCTGGCCCACTGGGCGTCGCGAGGACGCCGAGACGCCTGCGGACTGCCGGTTAGGCAAGCCCGCCACGCAGCCGTGCGCTGCAGCCGGCTGGGTTGCCTACCCGGCATTACCATTACCATTACGGGCGTTCGTGGCGTTCGGGAAGAAAGTCTGTCTGTCTGCCTGCCTGTCTGCCTGCCTGTCTTTTTGTCTGTCTGTCTGTCTGTCTGTCTGTCTGTCTGTCTGTTGGTATGTCGGGCGGTCCGTCTCCTCGTATGTCTGTCTGTCGGTGTCGGCTTACTTCCGGTTAGGCGTCCGTTCGCCCGAGCCTCGCCTCCAGCACCACGACCGCGACCAAACTTTGCGGCTGGAAAACTGGAAACTTTTGGCAGCGAGTGTCCCTTCACGCCGCTTCACGCCCAGTCGCTGACGGCCTGACGGGCATAACTTTCCTGCCCCCTCTGCATTTTGCGATTCCGGCTGGAGCCGCGCGTTCCACTCGCCGGCCGAGTTGCCGCCGGAACGCTGCGGCATGGTTGTCCCTACACGCTAAAGTTCTTGGGATTATTTTGTTGCGAGTGTAGAATCGAGACCAGTTCAGGTGTGCTAACTGTCTGGAGACAATATTTTTATTGACTTTGGACTCCCCGTTTCGTACGACTGTCATCTTTTTCTTTGATTGAAACACCTTTTTGGACTTTTTACATTTTGAGCAAGTGCATAAATGAACCAGCCCCACTCCTCTCAAGCGGTCGAATTGAAAATGTATGTCCTAATTTCGGGTGACGGGTAAAATTTAACCAGGCCGGAGGAAAATGACACTGATTTGACGCCATAAAATGTGGGCCGAATTATACTAGATATCAAGCATTGCATATGCATTCGCAAAGTTTTGTTTCAAGGACAGAGACGCTGCGCCCTGCGTGTCCGAGATTTTATGGCAGATAAAGTTTGTCAGCAGGATCGGGCGGGAGTGTTGGAATAGGTTCTGACAGAGCAGAGTTTCTGCCGGCTCGGACCCGACACTCGATGGACAGTGGGTAATGCGTTCAACCGCAACCCCCCCCCTTTCCCCTGCACCATAAAACCGTGCATGTGCTCTCTGCTGCGTCGACCCAGCGCGCTACTCAGTCGCAACGAGGGTGGTGGTCAGTTGAGAGTCCGATGAGGGAAAAGGAGAAAATAAAAGAAAAATAATTCCAAAGCTGAGTTTTGAACGTGGGTCCGAAGACTTGGGAAGCGGTGCCTCTACGCCTTCAGCCACCATCCAGTCGCTCTTAGAGCGCTTTATGTCGAGATGGACGTCGTTCTTGGCGCGGTGCGGACTGCGGGGAGCGTGGGCCGGAGAGGTGTGCCAAATCTACCCCAAATATTGGTCTCTCCCCCCTCCCACACCGGCCCACATTTCCTAGCCCGCCCTACAGCACCCTACACCCTACATCATGCGTCATCCAGACAAATCATGGTCGACTAAGCACCACGCCCCACAACCCCGCAGTGTTCCCTGGCACCACTATCCCCCACGCCTCGGCCGCGCCAAAAAAGACGGAGAAAAGAATGGAGCAGTGGGGAAAAAATCGAAGGGGGGGAAAAGAACGCAGCGCGGGTACTTGAACTCGGGACCCTGCAAATGGCTTCTGAGCAGCAGAAGAAAGGGGAGGGGCGAAACGAAGTGAAATCGGACCGGGTGCTGTTTGTCATGCATTGGCTGCACTGCGGCGGGGCGGGGCGGGGCGGGGCGGGTGGGGCGGGTGGGCGGGGTGGGGCGGGGCCAGCAGGCAGAAGGGCGAGCAGCAGTCGATATTCAATAAAGAGAGGTACGCGGGAGGCACAAACTGACACCAGCGCCCCGCTCCGCTCCGTACCGCTTCATATTGACGAGGCCACTGTTGCCGGGCAGAGCCAAGGCAGAGCCAAAGCAGAGCCAAGCGGAAACAAGAGGCAGAGAGCGACGTCGACGCCTACACTGCCCAGCCCTGCCTTGCCTTGCCGCCCGTCGAGTCGAGGATAGGCAACCCGGCGCGCCACGGCGCCGACGGGCTTACCCGCTGTCTGGGCGGCGAGGCGCTCGCCACTGTGGTGTGCTCGAGCAGTGTGGGAGGGCCTGCTGTGTGCGAGAGAGACAGAGCGTGACCAACCTAAGAGTGGGACAGAGACAGTGATGCAGCAGGTAGGCCCTCCCGTACTGCGCGACACAGTGGGCCAGAAGACCGAAAGTATGACCCCACCAATGGATTGCTCGCTCCGGACTAGGAATCCATTGGTGGGGCCGCCGGCTGCGGCTTCTCGGTCCTTCGGCTGGATCCAGGACGATCCAGGACGATCCAGGGCCCCAGCATTAAGTGGGGCTTTAAAGATTCACGCCGAGCGCCTTAGCGTCCGCACCCAATCCGCACCCGTCGGATCCGTCTGGCCGGCCGCGCCTCCGGAACGGGGAATAGCGCTAAACGATCATCCCTTGCCTCCCTTCTCTCTCTCTCTTCTCTCTCTCTCTCTCTCCCCTCTCTCCCTCCCTCTCCGGCAACACGACCTTTGGCCTCCGCAGTAGGGTACCGTGCCTTTGCCACGCTGTCGGGGAAAGGCAGCTGCTGGCACTGTCAGGGGAAACGAAACGAAACGGGGGAGAGAGGAATTGCTCAGCGGTATTTCCGGCTTCGTCGAGAATTTTTATCGCGAGCACACACTGTAAAATGTTTAGATGGTTTAGATTGCCGCGTTTCGTCGCGTCTAACGCGCCTGCGTGCGTGCTTTTCGGCGGGAAACGTTCATGATACAAAAAAAGGGTGAATTTACCCCTTCGAGGGATGTGGGAAAGAGGGGGGGGGGTAGGAATTTTAAAAAAATCCACGTGGGTAAATTTAGCCGCTCAACACGTGGTGAAACTACCCTTGTTGTTTTCTACAGTGCACTGCACACACTACTCCGACTGAAAAAAAAGAATTTGTTTCTTGATTGATTTTTTTTTATTGCTGCTGCATTTCGTTTGGAGTGTCTTGTCTTTCTCAATCCCTTCTCTCTCCGACCGATAATAGCACATTCGCGAATTAGATTGAGGCTCAGCTCTTTCCGAGCGAGCGCGAGCCTGCAGGGCCCACGTGCTGCTAAAGACTACCCCGGCCCGCATGGCGTGGCGCGTCCGTCTCTCTCGCACCCACATACACTGCGTGGAACCACACTGAAAAACCAAACGTGGTCTAGACCGCATCATTGGTGTGGTCAAATGGATGCCATTTTGACCGCATCAGTTGGTGTGGTCTAGACCACGTTTGGGGCGTTAAGTGTGGTCTAGACCACACCAAACGTGGCCAAACGTGGTCTAGACCACACCAACTGATGCGGTCAAAATGGCATCCACACGGAGAAAAAGACTTTGCTGTGGCAACAAACACTTCGTTGGGACAACTAAGAGATTAGTTACTTTTTCCGAAACCAAGACGCTTAGCTGATCGAACTAATCATTCGCTTGTCTCAACAAACAGCATTGCTCTCCCTACGATTTCTATTAGTTGATGCAACAAAACTATGAATGTAGTCTTAACGTCATCAATTTTGTAATGATCATCATGAAACCTCGTTCTACGAATGCATAAACTTAGTTCCCCGGGACTCACAAAATTTGCTAGGGCGGCAAAATTTTTTTTGTCATCAGTGTCACAGTTTTGGGAGCCTGTACGAAACACCTGTTTACCCCAGCGCGTTACAACTGCTTCACGCCTCTTTTGTTGTAACGACGAAATTGTGAGGCTCTCGCCTAAAAGGGGTTGCAACCGTGCTCAGAGGCACGATCTCCCTGTGACGTCAGCATCAGAGCTGCAAGCTCGGAGAAAAGAATCGAGCACATCGAAGTCCCCGGATGGGGATTTGAACCCGCACTCTTCGTATTGAGACGCGACATCGCAAGCCACTGCGCTGCCGATCTGCCTATGCTATCATGGTCCGTCGCAGCGACTTGAACACTTTGCAGAAGCTGCGATCGTCCAGCGGTCCGGCGCTCGCGCGGGCAGCTCACAGCGTGAATCTGGTTGGGCAGAGACCCACTTCACGTTGATGTGTAGCTGAAGTAGTCATGACTTCGCTGCATCCTTTGATG